TCACCCATTGGAGAGGCAGTGCTGTCACCCATTGGAGAGGGAGTGCTGTCACCCATTGGAGAGGCAGTGCTGTCACCCATTGCAGAGACAGTGCTGTCACCCATTGGAGAGGGTTGGTCATGTGACTTTGGGCAAGTTACGCCACCTCTCTATGCTTTAGTTTCTTCATCTATAACAGTAGTTAGGGGGATTAAATGAGTTTAATCATACAACGCGCTGAGAACAGCGCCTGTCACGTAGAAAAGACTCGCAATGGTGTTATTAGATTTGGTCATCTGCAGATCTATAGACTGTGAAAACTGCGAGAGCTGGAACTGGACGGGGCTGCTTGTTTTTCCTGGTCCCGCAAGTTTTCTGCTTTGACAGGGTGCAATCTTTTCATTGTTCATTTTAGTGGAAAATATTTGAGTTTTCCTTCTCTGACAGGTTTTCGCCTTACACAGGTTCCGGCTTTTGCAGGTTTTATATATTAACTGGGGCTTATTTCATAGAATTGATGCTAAGATGAAGTGCATCCATACAACGTGATAATATATGTTAAGCACCTGTTCTGGCATATACTGGCTTTTCCTTCACAAAAGTACATACTGACAGAGGGTCTGTGCCTGTTTGCATATTTTTTCCTGCCCACTCCCACCTCTTTCTGTAAAGATATTTAACTTTCAAATGCAAGGAATGAGCATAAATGGACACAGATACACATAGTTATCACAGCATTGTCTAAATGGGCAATATTTTGTAGTGATCTAGACCTACTCTAGGGTTACTGTTATGTAAAGGTGTGAAGTCAGACACCACTTTATTCCCATCAGACCGAAATGAAAACACCCAGCAGGTACACAGAATGTTTAGTGACTGCTCAAAGCAGCAAAGTCAAAACAGCAACGAACTGGAAACAAAGTGAATGTCCTTCAACAGAAAAATGGTAGAATAAATTGGACTATTATGCAGCTATTTAAGGAGCCCTGGCCACGCAGCGGTTAAGCGCTGGGCTGCTAACGATCAAAAAGTTAGTGGTTCAAACCCACCCAGCGGCTCCGGGGAGAGAAAGATCTGGCAATCTGTGCCCATAAAGATTACAGCCTAGAAAACCCTATGGGGCAGTTCTACATGGGGCTGTTATGAGTTGAAATCAATGCAGAAGCACCTAACAACAACACAGCTGTTTAAAAAAAAATTAAAAAACCAACCAGCATGTGATCCCGTTTGATAGATCCATCAGTGTGCATGTAGATGCCTAAAACTGTTAGAAAAAAAGATACGGTAGATCTACATCTGTGACTTCTAGGAACATCTGTAACATGCTAAAAGAAAAAAGCCAAGTGTAGAATAATGTTTATAGTATGAATGTTTCGGTGAAAACAACCAGAACCCCTGTGCATTTGTGTTTGAGGGTGCATGTGTTTGTATGAACGTGGCGAAAATTATGAGCGGATACACACAAGGCTGTTTAATTTGTCATCTTGGAGTGTGGGAAGAGATGTATATATCTTTGAATTGTATGTTCTGTATGGTACAATAAAGCCATGTTGCTTTTGTAATTTGAAACTACAAATCAGGGAACAAACATTAAAAGTAAGCTGGTGGGTAAATGTGGGGTGTGACCTGGCTCTCTACAGAAGTCATTCACCTGCTGTGAGAGGCTCATCTGTACAGAAGCGACGGTCTAGGTCATCTCCAGCGGCCCCACTCTTTGAGCTTCTGTGAGTCTATACCTAAGGCCCTTTTGACTCTATGATTTAGGGCCTTTAGGGTGGTACTTGTAATATAGACAGATACTTTTAAGATTGCACAGCAAATTTCTAAACCTTTCTCTCTCTTCACATGTGTGTAAATCATTCGGAATGCTGGGAAAAATAAACTCTTACCAAAAAAAAGAATCATAGTTTGGGGAGAAACCATAGAGCTGATTGAGCACCGATGCTGATAAAGTGGTTTCTGTAGGTAATGTACCGAGAGGTGGAAGGGTCTGTTTACTGACCCACAGCTCAAGCTGACAGCGGGGCTAACGAGACTGGTTGATTTCTAATTATTTTTTAAGCATTAGGGTTAAAGCAGCTTTCAAATATTCCTATTGGCATTAAAAATATAAAAATTGAGTTGCTGCCCTATTCTGAGAAAAAGTCACTTCAATTCCTGTCTCTTCTTTTTTAAACGCAATCTACTTCTAAGAAAAAACAAAACAAAAAACCCCGCGTATGTGGTGTGTTTGCGAGTGTTTCTGAAAATTCAGCAGTGTGGGGACAGAAGGGTGCGACATAAGAGTTAATGAAGTGGTTTCCTTTTGTCGCTGGGAATGAGCCGACCAGAAGACACACGTGCGTGTGCGCGCGTGTGTGCGAGTGTGCGCGTGTGTGCGTGTGCATGTGTTTGTGTGCACGTGTGTACGTGTGTGCGCGCCTGTGTGCGCGTGTTATCTGGGTGGTACGTTGGAAGCGGCAGTGGGTCTAGTATTCGGTGGGCATTTCAATGGACCGGCTCACGGGTCCCAGTCCAGGGGGTGACCGGAGGGAAGGAAGCAGGGACCAGAGCCGTCATTACTAGGTCCTGGTTTATAAGCCACATGTGTCTGTTCTCTAAGGTGGAGGCCATATCTTTACAGGTTCCCTAGTAGTTCAGCTTTGTCCTTTACTTTTTTGGTCTTTTTGGCTAGAGAACTGTCCAGCCTCAGGGACACAGAGTATCTCATCAGGACAAAGTGCCTCAAAAATCGAAGGATTATAGACTCATAAAAACCTCGGAGTGAGGAGGGGCCGCTGGCTCAGGGGTCTGGTGAAGCGGCCCCACCTTTCAGGCGCCTTCTTTGTCAGAACTGGCTTTGTCTCCTGGTGGAGAACTTCACGGAGACGAGACTAGACGAAACCTTTCTGTTCTTAGCAGGGCTTCAGGTGCTCATAATCATGTAAATTAGGAGGAGGGTGTTCCAACAAGAAATTGCAGAGAATTCAGAGTTCTTGTGAACCTGCCTTCTGGTTATGCCCCATATCTATTTTTAAAACTTGGCATTGGCTGACCTTTTAAGATATTAGGCTCTATTTTTTAGTATCATTTTGTGACATAAAGGAAAACCTCTAACTTGAACTAATCGTGAGAAAGATAAGCCTGTGTCCCTAAAACACCCGAATTGTAAAAAGCCCTGCGGCCCTGTGATTCTCGAATAACTTGGACTGGACTCACAATGGCCTTGGTTTATGGTGCACACGGATCCGTAGTTAGTGTATGGAAACACTGCCCTAAGCAGTGAAGCAACTAACTGAGAGGTCGGCGGCTTGAACCCACAGCCCCCTGCGCCAGAAAAGACCTGGCCACCTGCTCCCGTAAAGATTTCAGCCTAGGAACACCCTGTGGGGCAGTTCTACTCTGTCCTGCAGGGTCTGTATGAGTCGACATCAAATCAACAGCACACAACAGCAACAAATCCTCTCAGGTAACCAAAAACTAACCCTGTGAGCGGGTGTGTGTTCTCTCTGAAACATGCCAGCTGACGGTCCACACTGGTGACGCTGCATCCCGCCATTTCCCACCCCAGCCTGAAATCCCCACTGTCACTCATTCCGTTGGGTTAGAAAACAAAAGAACATTGTCTTCTAGGAGAGCCCTGTGGAAGTAAAGGGCAGGGTAGAACGCCAGGATCCTAGTCAATGTGTTAAATATCAGAGACAAAAGAGACTTTCCCAAAACCCACTGCCCTCGAGTGGATCCTGACTCATAGTGACCCCATAGGACAGGGTAGAACTAACCTGTAGGGTTTCCAAGGCTGTAATCTTTACAGAAGCCTCATTCTTCTCCTGCAGAGCAACTGGTGGGTTCCAACTGTGACCTGTTGGTTAGCAGCCAAGCGCTTTAACCGCTGCACCACCAGGGTTTCTTAGAAGAGACTGCGGGGATCATTTACTTCAAAGCCCTTATTTTATGGTGAGGCTCCTGGGGCCCAGACAGTAACTATGGAGTAGGTTACGTGAAGTCCCACCAAGTGTGACCCTCAGGGGATAAAGTTTATTATGGTATTATTATGGCTTTAGCCATATTCTCCCCTGACAATGAAAGGTGGAATCCCCTAAAGAAAACATCTGGAGAGCCCTGGATGACAGAGGAGGCTCTAAGGCCGGCTTCACAGGCAGCAAGGCTCTGACCCATGGCTGTGTGTCATATCGCCCTCTAGGACCTAAAAATTGACCAGAAAACACCTCTCCGGGTCCTCCACCGGAGGCCCTTGGCGGTGAGAACTCGGATCGTTCACACCATGGAGACCCGCTATGTGGACGAGCATCACTTCCGTCTGCATCTGAAGACTCAGGCCGGAACGTATCCTTCTGCACAGCAGTGATCTGACCAGAACGCTACTGGGAGTTAAGCCTGTCCTAGGAGATAGGTCCAACTGGTTTGGGGTCTGTAAGGAGAAGCGTTATCTTGGAGGAGAATCTTTGGTTTGTTTCAGGTGTTTTTTCCCACTTGTGCTTTTCAAAGACATTTTTAAACCATGAGGTAGCAGCCAGTCCAGTGTCAACTTTAAAGTTATTGAATGGTTGAGGTGCCTTGGAGGAAAGGCCTGGAGATCAGCTTCTGAAAGCCCCCAGCCTGAAAACCCTATGGAGTGCGGTTCCACTCTACGACACGTGGGTCGCGATGCGTTAGAATCGACTGGACAGCAACTGATTTGGCTTTTCTTTTTGTTTCACGTCATTACAGTGCCCCACGCGGTAGTGAGCACACAGCAAGTCCACAGAAAGTACTTCTGATGGATTCATTTGCCGTCTTTACATATTTTGCAAGGCATATATCCATGACCACATTTGGGTCCTAACATCATTCAAACATTTGCTCCGGGTAGTAGGTAGGAACGGCACTGCTTCACGTATCAGTTTTAACTTTATTTGGCCACTGGCTCATTACAACAAAGAATATTCTTTCCCTACATGCCTTGTTTAAAAAAAAAAAAAAAAACCAAAACCAAAAACCTTCAGATTACATATCACTTGTTTGAACTGTGTACACCTGATTGATAGTAATACTCTACCGCCATTTGCATCACTTTCAAAGAGACTGCAAGGAGCTTTTACTGGGTTATAAATAGAAAAGGCTGAGAGTCAGAGTTAAAATATCCACAGTGCAAGGCTGATAATTTGTTCATAGCCTAAGCTGTGTGCTTTGCATCAGAACTGAGTTTCTGATTAAAATTTATCAGGGAGTAGTTTTGGCTTTAAGTTTGTTTTCAAAGGCGTCCCTTGTCTTTGCTTCTTGGTTCCGTTCTGCTTTGTGATCAGGAGCTCTCTGACGGCATGGGGTGATAAGATGCCTTCTGAGTGGCATAAAGCTAATGCTATCCATGTCAAGTTTTAATCATCAGACAGCATTTTCACTACCTTGCTGTAACTAGTCTGTTCCTGCCATTAACAGGAGTGACCAGGATTTACTCACCTCAACCAGGTATAGGTCACTTACTCCTAACTTCTCCTAAAATTTTTTTGCAGTTTGGATCAAGGGGTGATCTGTTTGGATCTCAGTGGGCAAATCTTTGTATCATTGTTTGGAGCATATTAGCCTGTCATGGATGAAACGTGGATGGAATTTCACAGAATCACAGATTTCTTTTGAAATCTTTTTACCTAACTCCGGGTTTATTTTTGGTGTGCCAGGGAGAAATACACTGGCCTTTGGGAGAAGCTTATGTCTTTTCAGTCCCACTGAAACATTTTTAGAACGAGCATGTACACGTACTTAAGGCATTAGCCAAGAAGGATTATTTGGTAAAGCTTTAGAGCAGATGGTTACACACAGAAGTGTGTGAATTGTTCACAGGTTCAGTTTATGTGGTATACACCATGCGTGTTTATGCCGCTCGGTACACTAGCTGGCTTGTTTGACCTAAGCCTTACCCTCTGGCTGTGCGCAAGAACCACTTTGGACCCATTAACTGGTTATTTTGGGACTTTTGGGGTCCATTTCCCCTCATCAGAAGTAGCATTCTCTACGGAAAGTGAGAGAAAAAGAAAAATTGTTGAGAAATCATGCGTTTCAACAAGAAGACAGTTTCTAGATAATTATGTTTTACCCTTGAGTCAAAGCATTTGATGATGAAAAAGAGTGAATACGTTTTCAGAAGTTGAGGAGGACATAATACCAGCATATTTTGGTTGTTGATTATTATTATTTTTTTAATTTGATGGTATTTATTGTCTGGGAATAAACTTATTTTTCCTATTCAAATTATATTACATATTTTTTACTAAGTGCTGGTTTACAGAACTCAACATAAGACTGAATGCGTTTTTACTGGATCCTGGCAAAAACATTGTGTGTCTTTCAGATAAATATTGTTAAGGCTGCAGCAGAGTCCTGGGTAAGGAATGTTAATGTCATTTTATTAAAAACTAATTCTAGAATTAGTAATTGACGTCAGTCTTTGAAGATCTGTGAGAGAAACAGAAAGTTGCCCCTTTAAAAGAAAGAGAGAATTAGCTTAATTTTACCAACCATGTTAGTAAACAACTAAACGGTAGGCCTTTTGCTAATCCTTCTGAAGGGCCTTCATCAGGACTGAATTATTATGCTCATCGTCCTTCCCATCCTATTGCCATTGTGCCACTGGGTCACACTGCACGAACACCATCATTGAGGTCGTTCTGTGTGTGATGCTGTAGAAATCTGTTAAGTGGCAGATACCAGCTGCCATTTGATGACAGAATGGAAGTTGTGGCAAACTAACAGATAGTTGAGATTTTTATTTTTTAGGATTGAACTACAGCTAATTCTTAGAATTCACACCCAATCCTTGGCACTTGGAGATGAGCTACAGAGAAAAGAGTGTCGTGGCTCTTGGTGAGTCTGATTCAAACACAGATCCCCAGGTTCTGCATCTGGCTGTCAGACTGCTAGAAACCTGTTTGCCATAACTTACTTTCTAAGCCACGCATCGAAAGTCACAGCTCGGAAATAACCTCTCCTGTAACATTCCTGCTTTTGTTCGTCATTTCCTTTTCACCTATCAAATCTCACCCAACTGTTGGTACTGCCTGGCTATCTTCATTGTTTCCCTAAACAAACCCCAGCTACATTAAAGAGTTTGTCCACGGAGACTTTGGCAGGACCAAGCCAAACATCGGTTCCCTGATGAATGTGGCTGCAGACATTCTTGAGCTGGATGTTGAGGTAAACTCATTTACCGAGGGGCGCTCACTGGCACACTGAGATGCCGAATTCAGCCGCCTATGAAATGGTGGTGTTCACCTTCATAGGTATTCAACAATGGTCAAAATGTCATCGTATTGAAGAAAGGTGGTATCTTTGCAGTTTTTATTTCTTTAAAAAAAAAAGGCAAGGTCTCACTTACGACCCTTGCAGAAGGTTTGGCTAACTTACTAACTGTGCTTTGCATATGGTGCCACATCTGAAGCCTTTACACCAAGTAAGGAGATGAAGTTGAAGTGCCCTTCGTGTGGCATTTACCCTCTAGGAAGTTAAATCCTTGCATATACATTGTATTTTTATCAATACTTGTTTTGTCTGACAAAGAATTTAAGGCGGCCTAACACAGAAACATATTCAGGATAGAGGTAGAAAGTAGAATGGGCCAATGGTTATTAGCAAAACAGTTTAATAAGGGACCCGCGTAATGTGGTCCAAGTTGTCAACTTAGTCTGAATTCAAACAAGGGTAAACTGTAGAGCAATCAGAGGAGTGGACAGAGTGGGTCTTTCAGGCAGTTCTCCATAAATACTATTTCTTACCTGAGCACCGATAGGTATCAGTCACAGGCTGTGCTCCTTGAACATCTGCGTAAAGGTAGTAGTCTCTCTCTCCCTAAAACTCTTAGGAGAGGCCAGCATTTTACACCTGGGAATAATATCAAAGTTATAAAAAGAAGTGGGCAGAGTTGCTGGGTGTGAAAACAGCTGTGGTGATCAGATCCCTGGAGCCTTGTTACCTGGGTGCTTCAGAAGAGAACTTACATCGTTCCTAGGGGGTGGGCAGTGGTAACACCTTCAGGGCAGCAGGGAGCCTCCCAGGGAGACTATCATTTTGAGGAAGATAGCTGTTGCTGGGAAAATCCCAACTGCATTCATCTTCTCTGACCTTAATTCTTAGAACAGTTTCGGGGTGTCACAGCTTCATAGGGCCAGTGTTTCTCAGCCCTGATTGTCCTTTACAACCACCTGTGACGCTTTTGAAAAAACACATCATGCCTACCCTCCCCTGTGCTCAGCACACAGACACAAGAGTATAATCAGTAATGTTTCGTTTTCAGGCTTGAGAAACCACTCACTAATTCATATGTGGGTGCTTGGTATATGGCTATATTCTGAGACAGAATCAGAACAGATATTTCTTAGGATTTGTAAAAGATACACATACACATAACATATACAGTACAATAGTTCTTAAGCTTCTCTAATGAAACTTATGAATCTGGTATGTGAAGTGACTCATGGATTAAAAGATTTGTTTTTAGTAAATCATTTCTCCTTTAAATGTGAAATATCAAAAACAACACAGGTACAATGGAATTATAAAAGAACGACAACAACTTTCTTCTAAAATAGGCCCAGTAGGGTAGTTATACTTCTGAGACGTGGAATGTGCTTGTTGATATGGAGACAAAATAGTCCACTTTTCTGTGATTTTGTAACGACTTGAAGATCAAGGTTTTCTTCTAGAAGAACCAAACCAGGGTAGAGATGGATTAACTGGATTTTAAAAGAAATAAAAATTTTGCTAAAGTGAAATCTAAAGATCCTTAATCTGTTTCTAATCCCGGATGATGTTTTTTTAGAGACTTTGTTAAAGGCAAGATGAAGCGATCAGAAGACTTGCTCTCTGAGATTTCTGAGGGAAAGCTGGCATCACCACCTGAGTTTTTGTGCCACTTTATTTATAAATAAATTTGGAAAATTTTATTTATTCTCTTATAAGCCAAAAGCCACAACTAATAACCAACGAAGTAACCATATACTGCTACTCCGTTAATTCAGAGACCGACCTTGGGCCCAGGACTCCCTACAGTGGTCTTTAGGGTATTAAATTGTCGTGTTGACAGCTCTTTTCTTCAGATGCAGTTTCTCTCGTTGCATATGAAAGCTAATACGTTTATGATTTTTTAAATTACCGACAAAATGCTTACTAGAATACCTTGTTTAATGACTTATTTGCTTCCTTCTAGTCTGTAGATGTGGACTGGCCCCCTGCCCTGGATGACTAATTTTCAGATTTGAAGAATAGGGCTTTCCTGGAATGGGGTGGACATCCGTTCAGCATACACTGCAAAATGGCTGTTTACCCACCATAACGGTGTCTTGGAAGCTGTTTGGATCATGTTGATCTGTATGTTTTTTTAAATTTGCTGTAACATCTCAGGATCTATATATGTTAAATTGCTCTAAGGATGTCTTATAATTCTTCTTGCTCTTCCTCCAGCCCCTGCAAAGCAAAATATGAAATGAAACCATTCTCGCTTTTAATTATTTCTCTTAGAGAGGTATGCCAACAGGATATGTTCTGTTAATCCGAGAAGTTAAATTTTCTTTTAGTAAGATTTCCCTCCACAAGAGACATCCAAAAACCTGTTGCTGTTGAGTTGATTCTGCCTCATAGCGACCCTATAAGTCAGAGTAGAACTGACCTATAGGGTTTCCAATGCCGTAATCTTTATGGAAGCAGGCTGCCACATCTTTCTCCTGCGGAGCAGCTGGTGGGTTTGAACCACCGACCTTCCGGTTAGCAGAGGAGTGCTTAACAACTGCGCCGCCAGGGCTCCTTTACAAGAGACATACCACCTTTAAAATATGGTTCTAAATTTTTAAAGTTATCTGAATCAAAATTACTGTATTTCCTGCAAATAATGTGCCCATAAATATAACGTGCATAGCATGACTAGGAAAATAATGCATGAGGGGGTTGTGCAGTTGGCAGAAATATATAATGCATGCTATTTGTGTACAAATACAGTAGATCTATGCAGCTATAGATATACAGCAGCACAGTAACCTATAATACTCTCAAATCTCAAATGCAAATCTGAGGTCATTAGTATTTTTCCGGGTCAGCCTCGAGCTATTACCAATAGAAGGGCTTTTGAGTATGATCTGTCACAAATCTTAATGACCTCAAGTTAGTGTTTTGACAAACTAAAATTGTCAATACCTTTCCCGTGGAGGGAAAATAAAACCTTTGGAACTGAGGTATACCGTGGTGAGAGAACTTCTTAAGTCTTTTAAATAAGGAGACACGAGTGCCTACAACTATTTAATACAACTTCAATGCCAAGGATCAGATTATGAAAAATGTAGATTGCTGAACAAAGGTAAGCTGGCATTATTTCAGAGTGCTTCAGTCTCTTATCCCATTTCAGATATGGTAAGGTGGATGAGTGTTATTATCTCCATTTTACAGATATGGAAACCAAAGAATAGAGATTAAGTGACTTGTCTAAAATTGTTACTTCCATATCTAGGACTATAACCGAAGTTTCCTGGTCTCTGGGGTCCTTTCTAATAAACCCTATACTGAGCACCTACTGTGTGAAGGGGGTACCTGAAGATGACATTTTAACTCGTGTAACTGTGAGTTTTAACTGACTTGGGATTTAGATAACAAATCAAGGAACTTACTAACAAATAGGCCAGGTATATTTCACATAGTTTCATAAAATTACCATTTGTTGGTAAATCAAGCATCAGTTGATATTGTGAAGAGGAAAAACATATTAAATAAGACAAACCCAAAGAAAATAAATGGGTCATTAAAAGTTCCAGAAAGAACCTCATTTAGGTGTGATTTCCATCACCCTGATTACACTACTTCAGCTTACTCTAGAACACAATGACTTGGACAGTATTGGACTACTGTTTCCTATCTCAATATTAAAACATTGTTCGTAGACACGAAGATGTATTATTCACTTTAGAAATCGGGAAAACGTTTAACAAGATTGTTAACTGCCGTAAAGAAGTCAGCCCACCACTCTGAAACTATGTGTTTCATGTATGAACGATAGTGAATCTCCAATACCGGAAAATGAGCCAGGGTAACAGAAAGAAACTTTTGAAAAAAGGTAAGAACCGCTGTGTGAATATTTCTCAGTTTCTGGGGGAAATTTTGCTTTAAAAGATTTAAGTAGTTCGGAAGATAGTCTTTTGCACATTTCTCTTTGACTCAGCTTTGAAGCCAGTGGACCTGAAAAATGGAAGCTTCAAGAACCTGAGCAAACTTAAGTTAGAAGACTGCTAATTCTGAAATTTATCAGTTTATGCAAAATTTCAAAGAATAAACATTAGCTATAAATACTGTACTGATTCCAAATGTTCACATAATTAGGAGACACAGCTTGTTAAAAACTAATGCAGGTCTCTGTTTTATGCAGAACCGGGAGCATTAGGTGATGACAGTACTATAGTTTCACTTTTGCCTATATGAACTATGTTAACATTCGTTTTATGATTTCCTTTTATAGCTTTGTTTCAATTCGCAGTATTTTAATAACACTTTGAGAACGGGTCGGTCGCACTTCTTAGTATCTCTTTATCCCAAATATAGTCTGTGGTTTATTTTAGGAAAAAACATCAACTCTTAATACCTGGAAAAGTCAAGAAAAAATAAGTTGGTAAAATGAAAATTTTCCAAGTTTTTAAGATAATCGGTTATATTTGCAAGTTATCTGAAATAAATTTAAAAGTTAAATTTCCATTTCCTAAAATAAATTAACATCTTATTTTGGTAGATATTTTCTTTTTTGAGCTTAATTCTTTGATTTTTAACTCTAAATAAGAGAATGAACTGTTGTGCAAACTTTTCTGAGTTGATTTTTAAAAATGGCACCCTTTTTTATTATGAAATAAATATTACTTTTATGATGACATTTTAATTTTTTTTCATTTTGAAATAATTTCAAACTTACAGGGAAGTTGCCAGAAAAGCATGAGACTTTCTTCCTGAACCATCAAGCTGGCGCAGACTCACCACCCCGAATACATTAGTGTGACTCCTACAAACACAGATATTCTTCTGCTTAACTGTGACACAGCCATTAAAACTGGGTGAAGTTAGCACCCTCCACCACTGTCATCTAATCCACATACCACGCTCACATCTGGCACATTGTCCCAACAGTGTCCTTCACAGCCAGTGAATTCATTCCAGGGATCACACTTTGCATTTGGGTATGTCTTTGTCTCCACCAACCTGAAACATCTCCTCTTTCCTCCACTTTTCCATTACTTTGACATTTTTTGAAGATTTCAGGCATTATTTTGTAAAATTCCCTCGGTTCGGGTTTGCCTGATGTTTCTCGCCAAAGAAACATTATTAGGCTTAGGTTGTGCCTTCTTGGCAAGAAAACTACCGGAGAGACATTGTGTTCTTATTCCATCGTTTCGGGTGACACGTTACCAGTTAGTGGTGACTGGGATTTGATCAGTTGACTAAGGTAACGTCTGTCAAGCTTCTCCAGTTTGAGTTACGCTTTTCCTGTTGTGACTAATAACTATCTTGTAGAGACCATCAAACTTACTATGTGAAAATCAGCCATTGATGATTTCTGCCTGAATCAGTTATAACAATGATTGCCAAATAGTGGTTTTCTAACTCCCATCATCCCTCCTACCTTTGTTGGTTGGCATACCATTGACAGGTAGAGCTTTCCCCTCTCTGCCATTTATTTATTCATTTATTTCTATCACTGCATTCGTGACTCCCTGTTTTAGTCAACGGATTTTAATCTGCTAACATTATTTATTTTGATGTTCAGAGTGTTCAAGATTCGGCCAGTGGGAGCCCCTCCCAGTTGGCTCCTGTGTCCTTTTTACAGGAACCCACCATTCTTTGAGCATGTTCTTGCTTTCTGACACCAAATGAAATACCAGGCTCATCTTGTGTTTTCCCTGCACCAGACCTGGGATGGGCTATTCCTTTAAGAAGCCCTGGTTCCTTTTAGTGGGAAATGGGATTCAGAAACCAAGATCTGGGTACGAGGTGTGCTCATGTTGCGGTGATGCTGTTCCTAAGCTCTCTCATGGAACGGAGCTAGGGAACACACACATACACCCCTATGTATTTGTCTCTACGGATGTTCAAAACGGAGTGTACGCCAGTACGTCTAATTCCAATCTCACACCTCATTCTAGTTTTCTTCCTTTCCACAGTTGTAACACCCTTCTCCGAAAGTGAGAAGTCAGTTCCCACTGTTGTTGTTCTTAGGTGCCGTGGAGTCGGATCCGACTCCTAGCGACCCCGTGTCCAACAGAACGAAACACTGCCTGGTCCTGCGCCACCCTCACAATTGTCGTTGTGCTTGAGTCCATTGTTGCAGCCACCGTGTCAATCCATCTTGTTGAGAGTCTTCCTCTTTTTCACTGACCCTTTACTTCAGTAAGCATGATGTCCTTCTCCAAGGACTGATCCCTCCTGAGAACATGTCCAAAGTATGTGAGACGTAGTCTCGCCATCCTTCCTTCTAAGGAGCATTCTGGTTGTACTTCTTCCAAGACAGATTCCCACTAGCCTCGGTGTATTTACCTAACAGATCAGTCTCTCTTGTAAACAGCCAGTCTCCTGTTGTTGCCACCTTATTCCGACCACCCCTAGATGTTTCTTTCAAGCTTCGTACTGTAATCCTACACTGGGCGACCACATTACCTCCTTTTGCCAATACCCACCTGTACCTTGCTCAGATCAGAAAAGAGGCAGACAGGCAGGAAAGAAGGCAGAAAATGAAAATCTTTCAAAAGGGCATTCCAGTACTCTACAAAATTATTTCAGAGGACAAAGTTCTATATGCAAGTATATTCAGATGTAACAGTCAATAAAAAATGCCCAATGTCTCTAAGCAACCAAAACTACTACATTCCCCATAAAGAAGATGCTAAAAAAAGAAAATATGGTTGAGGTTTTTAAAGTCAAATAGCAGCACATTTTAGCAAGTGTTTTAGAATTTTTTCCATTTATTATATTACCAAGAAAAAAAATCACTGTATACAAAGATATTACAAAGGCAATAAAATATTCTGTACAATAATAGGCATTTTGACATTTTTAAACCTATTGTATCTTGATGCCATGCTTATCATTAAATAACTGAACAGTACCTGAGAACTTTAAAAAATTTCATCAGTGCCTCCAAATTCATTCCAGTCATTAAGAAGCATAAAAATACTTAGAACAGTGAAGAAAAAAAAAAAAAAATAGGGTATCGCCATTCCGCTGGGATTTGGGTTCATCACAGTCAACAGTATTGTCACGTACACAGAATTCATCTCCAGAGAGTTCATCTGGTCTGAAGAAGGCATTTCCAAAAGCCTGTTAGCAAGAGCTGTGCTGGTGCTTCTCTTTCCAGCTCGTCGGAACACCACCTAAAGCCTCTGACGGTGACCACTGTCACCGAGTTACTCAGGATACACCAAGGGTGTTGGCGGGGAAGGCTTACGAGGCTGAATTCCACAAACTGGTCCCAGAATACTCCAGCCTTATCTATTTCTTGCTATATTTTATGAAGAGCTATAATGTTCTGATTAGATAATAATAAAGTTTTAAAAAAAGAAAACAGGCAAGACAAATGATTGATAAATACTTTTACCAGCTATTTTATTTTATTTACTGGTATTTTATTTACCTACTATTTCTGAAAACTCGATTTGTTGAAGAACCAATTCTTGTACTAATTATTATATGTTACTATTCATACACAGGTGTTTAATGGGTTTTAATTGAAATTCTTAAAAATTTTCAAAGTCTAACAGTAAACTGAAGTTGTGGAAACAAGTGATAAGAATATTAGAGTGTGAAAATTCCACCACTTTAAACAGATATACTAGTGGGTGGTATTTTTTCTAAAGCCACAGACATTTAGAATAAACGATGATTATTTCTTAAAAAATTATATATATATTTTGTTTATTAAGGGGGGGGTGGGGACATGAGTGCATTTGTTTTTATAATTGTCTATAGACATGATTACTTTTGAGATTCAATCTTATCCACTGCTGTTAAAGTTGTGCTTTAACTAAACTCTGCTACAATGTATTAGTTAAAACATTAAGTTTTATATTGTATGAGACCTCTACTGTAAAAACCCATGAAAAAGTTCACACACAAAATGTAACAATCTTTGTTGGTTACCAGGGATGGGAGGGGTGGGGGGAAATACTAAATAGACAATAGA